TCCTGATTTGTCTAAAAAAAAATTAAAAATAGTTGTTTTTTAAAAATATCACGAGTTTTGTAAATGATTTTTTAACATAACTGTCTTGGTCTTGCAAAAATGAAAAAAAATGTTAAAATAGAAAAGTGCGAGGTCAAGGTCTGGACTCGATGTACAAGAGTGAGACCAAGACTATCATGGTCGATGGTGGCCAACAGGATTAATTAAAATCCTGATTTGTCTAAAAAAAAAATTTAAAATATCACTATTAAAGTCACGAGTTTTGTAAATGATTTTTTTAACATAACTATTTAAATCGACTGATGACGAGCAATTGCATGTCTTTCAGGATTTAAAGCCAAGCAATATAGTCGTTAAGTCCGACTGCACCCTGAAGATCCTGGATTTCGGATTGGCCAGGACCGCGGGGACGACGTTCATGATGACGCCCTACGTCGTGACGCGGTACTACAGGGCGCCGGAGGTAAGTTCAAGTTTCCGATGGCACGGATGCACCCGATCCTTGGTTTGCTGGTGTACGAGGATGAGGAGAAACGTTTCTTCCAGGTGATCCTAGGCATGGGGTACAAGGAGAACGTGGACATCTGGTCGGTCGGCTGCATCATGGGCGAGATGATCCGAGGTGGAGTCCTGTTCCCCGGGAACGACCACATCGACCAGTGGAACAAGATCATCGGTAAGCCTCGAAGATGGTTCGAAGGGATCCAGAAGACTTCCGGAAAATCGGGAGCACCTGGTACAGAGGATCCTGATTTCAGAGCAACTGGGGACGCCGGCGCCGGAGTTCATGCAGCGACTGCAACTCACCGTCAGGAACTACGTGGAGAACAGGCCGCGGTATCCTGGATATCCCTTCGAGAGGCTATTCCCGGACGTCCTCTTCCCCTCGGACTCGTCGGAACACAACAGGCTGAAGGGTTGGTAGTCCTGGTGGAGGAAAGGATCTCAGGACCCTGGACGTCGTCTTCTAATTCACGTTTTCCTGGTTTCAGCGAGCCAAGCCAGAGATCTCCTGTCTCGCATGCTCGTGATCGACCCTGAGAGACGCATCTCCGTCGACGACGCATTGCTGCACAACTACATCAACGTCTGGTACGACGAGGGGGAGGTCAATGCCGTGAGTAGTCCAGGGTCCGACCTCGACGATGGCGTCGATGGTTTCTAGAAACGACTCCGAGGGGCTATCTTTAATCAATTCGTTGCAGCCTGCCCCGGGTCCCTACGACCACAGCGTGGACGAGAGGGAACACACGGTGGACCAGTGGAAGGAGCTGATCTACCAGGAGGTGATGGAGTACGAGACCAGCCACAACCCGGCCGCGGTGGGCCAGTCCTCCGAGACCGCGGGCTCGCGGTAGATGCCGAAAAAAGTCCAGGTCCAGGTCCAGGACCAGGTCCAGGACCAGGTCCAGGACCCACCAGCGGTTCCGGTCGTCGTCTCGGCGGGAGCAACGAGCCCCCCGGGACCCGCGGGAGGTCTCGGGGACCCCGAAAAGCACCCCGAAGAGGAAACCGGCCCTGTGATACCCTGCGATCCTGCGCCTTCCGCGTCGTCCGACCCCGCGAAGAGGTCCTCCTCTCTGCGCGACTCCCAGGACTCGTCCAAAGTATTCGAGGTCCCCTCTAGGAAGGACCTACCGTTCCTCGCGAGGCGATGCCTCGGGTCACGTGAAAGCGGCCTCCTGGGAGGCGACCGATGTTTCCTTTCCTTTTTTTAAACCACTCTCGGAAGCGGCTGTAACGTATCGATATCCATTTTTTTTCCACTTGGAGGTGGACGCCCTGGGGAAGGTCCTGGTATCCGGGAGTTTCGTTTCTCTTGTTGAATTTGTTTACCAATGGTTTTTACATTTTTTAATCGAAAGTAGGCTTTGATGGGAGGACTTTTCTTAGGGCCGACATGGTCAAGTGGGGTAATTTCATGTGATTTGGCGCACTAGGTGCATCGATAGGGGTTGATACCTTTGGATCCCACTTTCGGGTCACCTGCAAGATCTGACTTACGACTGCTCGCACCTTTAAACGGCTCGGCACTTGTTACGCGAACGCACGACGTCGTCATTCGTTTCCTGGGGGCATTGTTGTCCGGACGACCCGCGTCGGGAGTTCCTTTTCGCGTCTTTTCGTCCATTTTTTGCGACTCCGAACGTGGTAACATCTAAATTTCTTTTTTTTTCCCCCTAAACACGATAATTTTTTAATTTTTTTCTTCAACGTGGTAACCTCCGAATTCTTTGGCACTTCTGAAGAAAACACCCACGGAAGGTGAAGAGAAAGAAGGAAACCCGAATATCCTGGAAAGAAGGGTCTCGCAAACGGGATGGAAGGTCCCAGGTCCTTTATCCAATGTCCAGGATTCCCGCAGGGGTCAAAGGTAATCCTGGCCAGGGACGCACCCACGAGTACGAGGAAATGCACGATGCAAGAAAAAAGAAAAAAAAAAAAAGAAGAGGGAAGAAAGAAATAGAGAAAAAGCTCGTACTCCCAGAAATCCGCGTCTCGGCGGGCGAAAAGCGTACTCTAGGAGACGCGGAAATTGTAAATATAATTTAGGGTACCGACCGGCGCACGTAGGGAAGTTAGTCAGGGGATGTTATCGCGTAACAATACGTACGCGAAGGGGAATCGTTAACTCCGCCATTGCAGAGACCCGGAATAATTACCGCTAATTAGAGATCCACGCGGGAGACGAGGGCGATCCAATTGCAAATGGCGGCCGAACGCTAACGAGAGCTTCGCGATTCAATGTCCATTTTATAAACCACTCTACTCTCTGCATTTTTATTTTTTTATAGTAGTCCTTTTCACGTCGCCGCCGAAACTGCACGGAGTCAGGATTTCCTCTCGTCACCCCGAGAGCCGATTTTTCGATTTTAAGCTTCGCTCTCGAGAACGCGAGATTTCAGTCGGAAGTGCAATCGTGTGGGTATTTATTATATAATTATGTAGTCACGTGATAAATGATAGAATGTTAGAGGTTTGCCGCAACAATGACGGGGTTGACGATTTAATGAACGTATGTTGACGTCGCATCGGATTCGTTGGAACGTAACTAGGGAGTTGCCGTTCGAGGAAGGCTCTGAAGAAGGTAGGGGGTCGCGATTGGCTGTAGGGGGTGAGTTTTTTACCCGACCACCGCCGAGTTGTTGGCTCGCCCGTCCCTTTGAGCCGCGTTTCCGGGGCATCCTGTATTTTTGTACGTGCACGCGTCGACGACACTACGTCCAATTCGAAAAGAAAGGAAATAATGTATTTTTCTCCGGGGGGAGGTCGCGAATTTCGGCGCTAGGCAAGGGGTGAGGGCTCGAGGGTGACGATCAGCTGATCGATGTGAACTTATGTAGGAATCGTGCACGACCGAGCGTCAACGATCAGCTGATCGATGCGTACTTGGAATCGCGCACGATGAAACGTCAACGATCAGCTGATCGGTATCGTTCGGGTGACAGCGATCAGCTGATCGATGTGAACTTATGTAGGAATCGTGCACGACCGAGCGTCAACGATCAGCTGATCGGTGCGTACTTGGAATCGCGCACGACCGAAACGTCAACGATCAGCTGATCGGTACCATCCAAGTGACAGCGATCAGCTGATCGATGCGTACTTGGAATCGCACACGATGAAACGTCAACGATCAGCTGATCGGTACCATCTAAGTGACAGCGATCAGCTGATCGATGCGTACTTGGAATCGCGCACGATCGAAACGTCAACGATCAGCTGATCGGTACCTTCCAGATGACAGCGATCAGCTGATCGACGCACGACCGAAACGTCAACGATCAGCTGATCGTACCATCCAGGTGACAGCGATCAGCTGATCGATGTGAACTTATGTAGGAATCGTGCACGACCGAGACGTCAACGATCAGCTGATCGATGCGTACTTGGAATCGCGCACGACCGAAACGTCAACGATCAGCTGATCGGTACCATCCAGGTGACAGCGATCAGCTGATCGACGCAGACTTGTCTAGGAACCGGGTATTAATGTAATATTGCGCCAGGACAACTCGTTTCTGGCGATTGTCGCGGCCTTTGCAATCAATCGTATCGGTTATCGTTAGTTAATTAGTTGTTAGATTCGTTTGGTTCGGTACACCTAGGTCTAATCGTCGTAACGACCTACGGGATTAATACGTATTGCAATGTTCCCAGGTTCGGTCGGAGGTGAACCTTGAGTCTCGATCGAACTCGTCGAGTCCGTTCAGACTTCCGAAGCGAATAGAAACAGTCAGGACTGAAATCTCGTCCTGAAGTCCTGAAATCCAGGCATGCAGAAGAGATGACGAAGAGATCACTCGCGATCGGTGCAATATTTACATTTATCGTCTTCCTGAAGAGGTCTGACGGACTTGGCCTTCGAAATTCAACGATCGATTCCTTGCCACTCGCAACTCGAATTGTCGTTGAAACGTTTCTTTCCGAGTGAAGGAAGTTTCTAGGAGGGAAACGCCCATTTTGTGTTTTGAAACCCCTTTAAGGCGGTATAAAAGAGTCATTATATACATATAAAAAATTGAAAATATCTATAAAACTTTTCTCAAAACTGGGTGCACCGAATTATCTGAAACTTTAACACGTGATTATGGAGACCCAAAGAATTTTTTTTTTTTTTTTCGAAAAATGAAATTTCGTGAGCATCGCGTTCTTCCTTAGGGCCTCTCGTGATGAAGTTTCAAATGATTCGGTGCACCCAATTTGGAGAAAAGTTTTATAAATATTTTCACTATTTGGTATGTACATATGACACTTTCATATCACCTTAAGACGATATAAAAGTGGCGTCGAAGAGGTTCGTCCAACTTTGTACCGAATTGATTAAAAATTTTTCAACGTAAATATGGAAGCTCTAAGGAAGGTTCCAACCCCCATGAAATTATAATTTTGGAAAAATACGAAGGAATTTAAAATAAAAATAAGTATGCCTAGAGAGCGACTTCCAACAATTTTTGAAAAAAAAAAAAATGAAATTTCATGGGGGTCAGGACCTTTCTGGTAGCCTCCATATTGACGTTGTAAAATTTTTAACGATTCGGAAAAAAGTTTCACGATTACCCTCGGAGTCCACTTTCGTATCGCCTTAATATCCGAAGACCGCCGTGGACTCTGAAGAGCGACTCGCGTTTCCTCTCTGTAGAAATCGGGAAATCCACTATAAATTCCACCGACGAGAAATGCTCTTCATCGTCGGAAGCGAGATCGATTCCTTTTCACAGTTTTCACCGGAATATAGGAAACAATGGCGAGGGTCATTGTCGAGGAGGTCGCAAGCCCACCTGGGGGGATTTAGAAAAGAAAAGCGTCCTTGTTTCCCTTTAGCCAGAGAATGTCCAACCTTGAAGAAAGCTTTTATTCGGGGACAGAGAGGAGACGAAGAGTTGGATAAGTCGAGGGTCGTAACGCGACCCTGTGCACTTTTTATCGGGAGAAACGTACCCGACTTTCGTACGAGATCTTACATAAGTATAAATATAAATATATAAATAAATATATATATATACATATACATATTGAGGTGTAGCTAAATGGTTAAGGCGGAGAGAAAGAGTCATAATTTTTTGAAGCAGCCTGTACATTTTACCGCATTATTGAAGGGACGGTGTGCGTCAAGATATATTCCAGGATTTCTAGGAAGGATCCGCAGGATCTAAAGGACGTGGCGACGGTGAAATATTAACGTTTTATCGATTACATGCGCCGCCACGACTAGAGGACATTAACTGACGGATATGAGTAATTGTAATGTAACGTTGAACTTTTGATTTTCCACGACGATAGTTATGTGAATATATTGCTACAGTCCGATCCAAATAATCAAGCTTTTGTAACGTTAATTATAATAAAGTAATAATATCGCTAATAATATGGTAATGTATGTACGCGTGGCAAACGACGGCGGGAAAGTGCCGTTTAATATATATATATATACAAGTAAGCGAGGGCTCTCCAAAAATCTTTATAAAATTCAGCCGAAGATAATTCTCCCCTGAAGATTTGTTTTTTTTCCCCGAAATTTCATGGCGACCCTCTCGAGCCTTAATCTTGTCCGACTTTGCACAGGATAATTTTTCGAAGGGATTAATCCGCTGATTAATGAATTAGTTAATTTATTAACGAATTAATTTTCCCTGACTTGCAAGCACCACCGCTAGGTTTTTAATTTATCGCCGCGATCGCCTTTCTCGCGCCACCCAATGTCAATTATCGAGGATTAGGGGGAGGAATTCGGAAATTATTCATAGAAATGGGAGGAAGAAATGGAAAAGTCGAATCTTCCGCATTCACGCTAAGTGCCCGCGGTCTTGAGAGCCGCAGATAATTGAAGAGAAGAACTGGAAAATGGGAGGAAATGGAAATTCCTGGGCTTGAAAGGGAGAAGTGCGGAAACAAAATGGCCGACGGTTGCAGTCGAGGTCTTAACCGATGTTTGAAAGAAAAAAAAGAAGAAATGGAAATTCCTGGGCTCGAAAAGGAGAAGTGCGGAAACAAAATGGCCGACGGTGCAGTCGAGGTCTTAACCGATGTTTGAAAGAAAAAAAAGAAGAGATGGAAAATCCTGGGCTCGAAAAGGAGAAGTGCGGAAACAAAATGGCCGACGGTGCAGTCAAGGTCTTAACCGATGTTTGAAAGAAAAAAAAGAAGAGATGGAAAATCCTGGGCTCGAAAGGGAGAAGTGCGGAAACAAAATGGCCGACGGTGCAGTCGAGGTCTTAACCGATGTTTGAAAGAAAAAAAAGGAGAAATGGAAATTCCTGGGCTCGAAAGGGAGAAGTGCGGAAACAAAATGGCCGACGGTGCAGTCCAGTTCTTAACCGTTGTTTGAAAGAAAAAAAAAAAATGAAAAATTAAGAGTAAGGACAATCGCGAGCCGAAATTTCTAAAGATTTTTGGTGTCACGCTCGAATTTAGGACGAGAGCGAAAAATGAACGCGAAGATCGGGGGCTAAAGAGGGGTAATAATTATGCTAACGAGTAATGTTAACGACTAATAACTATTGATAACTCTATTCGGTTACTTGATTAGCGGTAATCCACCTCTTAGGGCGGTTTAGGGCAAAGGCAGAAATATTTTGACCGGGGAGGCGAGGCAAACAATAAAATGTCCATGTTGCTAATCTAGCGGAGAGGTAGAAGCGGCGTTTAGGAAACAAGTAGTCCAGTTTAGTCCTTAGAAAAGAGAGAAATCGCGGAAAAACGCGTGCGAGAGGAAACACGTGTAGTTTTTAGAGATAGGTTAGGCTAGGTCGTATAAGTAGTCACGGGACTCCATAAAGGAGTCCTTCAAGATGTCCTGGAAGCCATTTGCAATTTTCACTTACACTCTCCTCGGGTTCCCCCAATTATTATTTCCACGATTATAGATCTTGTCACTCGATTTTCCACTTTCATAAGGCGAGGCTTTCCGCGTCCCGCGAGTCCAGGAAAATGAAGAACGGAAAAGACAGTTTATTAATACATAAATTTATGAATTTTATTTCGATACCTTTCGATCGTCCCGCGTTTCGTGAGAACAAGATTTTCAACATGTAATATCCTGGAATTAATTAATCCAGAAATCGTTCGTTTTACTTTAGCCGGAATTATTACTGCGGAGGAAGCGGAAGAAAATACAGAATCGTTGATAAAAAAAAAAAAGAAGAAATGAGAGATGCGAAATCAAGACGAGATTGCACGTATAGGATGTAAGGGACGGTCAGCCGGCGTAACCTAAATTATTATAAACATTACCACCCTATGAGTAACGAGTATACATATACATACCTCCTCTGTACATACATTAACAATAATAATTAATATTACGGTAAAGGCTAACAGTAATGGCGCATATTGTTTCACGATGATGAGCGATTGATCTGTGAATATGACGTACGATATTACGTGTAATTTAATTATGTCCAAAGCGACGGTGCCATGACATAATTATATTACTCCCGCGTGGTATAAATATTCTATAGATATATTAAGGTGGAGATGACAGTGCAGACGACCTCGACGATTACTATTAATTACCATTATTACGATTACCGTCAACACTAGGAACTCTGATTATCATTAAACCGGTTACAATTAACATTATCATTGCGAATGAAACCTTGAAATCGTCGATATGACTTAGAGATGGGAATTTGACAGTTTCTTCGACGGCTTCCCCGGAATCGTCCGCCATCTTAGATAAACGGAGGTTCAACAAAATTCTGGAGAAATAATTTTTTTTAGCATTTAATCGTAACACTTCGCCCATCCACGAGTGACATAAATGACGTGCAAAGTACAAGGAATTCTTTTCTTGATTTTCTATTAAACAAGCGTCATTTTTTAGTAGCCATTACCCTTGAGAATAATCCATGGGTTAAATTAATCCCGGTTTATCCTAAATTCCTTTGTCACTTGTGACGGAGGAACCTTTGAAAAATGAAACGCAATCAGCTGTCAAAGTTGTCTGGTCTCGTCGTGTCTAGCATAAATGACAATGACATGTCGGCATCTGAACCAATGCTCAAAGGGCGCTGTTGGTTTAAATTAATAAAGAAACGCTAACGAACCATCATTCTTACTTTACCCGTCTGTACCTATAGGGCCTGTAATGTATATGCAGTGGTGTGAGGGAAGAATAAACAGTCAACTTGAAACACACTTTTTACATGCATGATTTATAAGCTTTAATTTTAATATCAAAGGAAATATACCATGTTACATGTAAACGGGTTGCTGATTATTTAAAACAATGGTTTTCAAGTACCGCCGCGAACTCGTCACTTTTCCCTAATTTTTGTATAAATTTAAACAATCACCATATTTCGATCAAGAAATCCAGACAACATATAATACATTTAAAAAAAAAAAAAAGGGAAAATCATCCCTGGAATTATTTTACAAACAAATTCCGGCCTCGAGTCGTTTTTTTCTTCATAGGATGAAATCCAGATTTTGACACGTGTCATAAGGTTAGTTAAAGGATGTTGAATGTTGAGGAGATTTTTTTTTTAAGTCTTCGTCACCCAGGGCGTCATTGATAGGACCATCGAGGATGACCCTGAGGAATGGGGGAGATCCTGAAGACGTGGCTGAGGACGCGTCTAGGGGTGATAATAGATCTGAACCCAGAGACATTTGGCCATTACACGAAAGATGGTACCCTTTTGGCGAAGCTTCTCCACAGCTACGACATCATCAACGACAGTCAGTTGAAGACGATAATCCGGACCCAGGACCCTGCACTCTGCAGGGTGAACCTGAAGCACCTAAGGTTATGGCTGAAGTTCATCGGGGTGGACTGCAAGGACGACTGCATCGAGGAGATCTCCACCGAGAAGGGGACCACGTCTGCTCGCCTCTTCTTCAAGGTCTTCCTCTGCCTGGAGAACAAGGACCGCCTGCACTTCATCACCCTGCAGAAGGAGCGAGAGAAGTACATCCCCACCTCGACGAAGTTCGACGTGAGCACGGTCCAGGAAGAGGCAGAGACCGGGAGAGAAGTCCTGGAGGATCACCCGTTCTCCAAGCCCCTCCTAGAAGGCGCCGAAACGATCAGCTGGTACCAATCGAAGTTACTAAATCCTAAAAAGAAGGAGCCGAGGGTTAAGGAACCTTCTTCGAGATGTAAAGAGGACTCCATGAGAGGGGAATCTAGGACTAGACCCGGGGAACGTGGACGTGGAGATGCCGAAGATGTGCGTGGAACTACCAGAGAGGAGATCAGGGAGGATGTTCCTTACGAAACGATGTTCCCGAAAGGGTTGAAGGCTCGATCTCGAAGAGAGGCCACGTCGAGGGAGTTGAAGACCAGGATGCAGAAGGTCCTTCTGTCGGACTTGTGGGAGAGGCTGTTGAAGCAACAGGAGAGACACCTGGACCTTGCAGTTGCCGAAAAGGTGCTGACCCAGTCCAGGTACGAGAAGCAGCTCATCGAGAAGCTCTGCAGGGTGCGGGAGCAAAAAGTGCGAATTTCGCGCAATCGGCTGATAGTAGAAGAGCTGATAACGAGGACGAAAGAGGGCGAAGCGGTGATCGAGCAGGATCGATCGAGGGAGACCTCACTTCGGGATGCCGAAGACGTTGATGCGGAGTGCCGGAGGTTGTGCGAGTTGCGGAAGATGCTGAAGACGGAGAAGATGCGCAAGGTGAGGGAGAGACACGAGGGACTTTGCGCAGAGGTTCTGAAGGACCTGGTGGACCTATCGCTCGAGGTCTCGAGGTATCGATCCCAGAACGAGAACGAGATCCCCGAGAGCCTGTGGCGGGAGTGGAGGTCCTTGTTCCTGAAGAGCCAGCCTATGGTCCAGCACCTGGAGAACCTGGAAGACCTGGTGGAGCAGAGGGTATCCAACAGCAGCCTCGAAGAGATCCAACGGATAGAACTGGGGAGACAAAACGTCCTCGACGAGGCAGACTTCGAGAACTACCACCGGATAAAGCCCCCCTGGGAGGCGTTTTCACCTGGACCAGAATCTGAAGAGCGGCAAACCCTTCTCCCAGGAGAGCAGGTCCTGGGATACGTGGTGCACACGCTTCTTCGGGTCCTGTACCCTTACCCCAAGGACCCTGAGTCTCCACCTCTTCCTAGGTTCTCCACTTCGGCTGTAGTCCTTGGTCTCAGTCCAGAGCTTCGCTCCCCTCTTCAGGGTCTCCTGGAGAAGAGCGGGATTCTCCTGGTGAGGCTGGAAGACGCCATCAATTTCTGCCTCAGCAGGTACAAGGAAGAGATGAGGGACTCCAGGTTCATCGACCTCGAAGAGGTCGCAGAGATGAATAAAGGACCTGGAAGAGTCTCCGAGGTTGTTGGCTCCAAGAGGAGCGGACTCGAGAGGGGGTCAAAGAGGCTCAAAGAGAGTGCCAGGTCCAGGATGGTACTTCCTGAAGAGGGGGGACCGAGTAAGCAGACTCAGACTCCTAGGCAGATCCCTTTTGATGATCTGGATCCCACCCTGACGGATGCTGCATACATGGGGAGATGGGCTCATGAATTTCTGACCTTGGGTCAGCCAGTATCCAGCGAATTGGGCGCCAGGGTGCTGATGGAGTACCTGAAGAGCCTGGAGGGGGTGGAGGGCTTCGCCCTCCTGGACTACCCCATGACCTACGAGCAAATGTCCTGCCTTGAATTTAGTCTCTCCGGTCTTCGAGTTCCCCCTGAAGAGGACGTTCATTCGATGGACGAGAACATCGAGGACTTCGAGCCACCTTCTTCAAGGATCTCCTTCGAGGTGGAGGACCCGGACCGCTTTGAGAACCAAAGGCAGTCTCGACTCCTGCCAAACCCGGTGCCAAGACTCGCAGGACTCGCCCCGAAATCTCTTGTATCGTCCTTCGTCAGGGTGCTCCCGAAACCCGAAGACGTGAGCTTCGATGAGAGGGACCTCTTCGAGGTCCTTCCCGAAGACGCCACCGCGATGGACGCTTTTTACGCCGGCCAGGGCACGGCGTACGTGCTGTATTACAGTGTCCTGGACCTGCCGACCCTGAAGAGGCTCGCCAGGATGGTGCTAGGTGATCCAGAGTTTCCGCCGAAGCCTTCGGAGGAGATCTTCAGAGTCCCTGAGTATCCTTTGGGTGGAGAGACGGAGGTCCTGCGGAGCAAAAGGCCCATCTCGAAAAGAGTCCTCCCCAGACCCGAGAGCAAGGAGTCCTTAGACGAGGTACCTGGGGAGATGAGCCCCGAAGAGTCGCAGCGAACCCTCTCTCGAGAGGTCGAACCCGAAAGGATCGATCCTGGAGATCCTGGCTGGAAGTGGGCGGCTCCTCCTTCGTCTCCCAGGTTATTGGAGTCCTTGGCAAAAATCTGGGAAGCCGCCGAAGAGGTCTACGTCGAGGACCTGAAGAGCATCTTCTTCGTCAAGAGGATCAACCACTCCACCGTGGTGCCGTACAAGGACTTCGTGAAGAAGCACATGAAGGAGTTCGTCGAGCGCCCCGACAACAAACAGGACCTTTTGCACGAGTTCCATGTACGGTTCAACGCCTTCCAGGAGGACGTTCGCCAGGACGAAGAGGTCAAATGCGAGCTGCACTGCAGGGTGGGAGAGTTCCAGGACATCCTGTGGGAGGTGTGCGACCGACGCAGAAAGGAAGCCGAAGAGGAAAGGAGAAGGATCGTCCTGGAGAACTGGACCCTGCAGGAAGCCATAGTCCTCGGCAACCTCTTCATCTCCATGGTCCAGGCAGAGCTGGACCGCCACGTGGACACCATGCAACTGGTGCAGGACTACTACTCTTCATCAATGGATCGTCCTCTCTCCCAGAACCGATTCAAGAAGATCCTTCTGCCCAGGATCGACCTGCAAGAAAAGGACCCTGAAGAGAGGTCCTTGCCAGCGAGTCCTGCTAAGTCTGGGAAGGGGAAGGAATCTCGAGGTACCAAAAAGGGCTCTTCAGGGAAGAAGGACAAGAAGAGTTCCGCTCCTGCGGGTCTGGAGAACGTCAAGGACGAGGTCCTGGATTTGCTGATGAGCACGGACAGGGAAGAGGAAGGACACGACCAGAATGGATTATACAGGGCGGTTCATTCCTGCGTCCAGAAGGCGAGACATCTTGTCGATTCCATCGCCGAGACCCTGAAGAGCCAGCTGAAGAAGGAAGAAGCCGCTGCTGGGCAGGACTCTGCGTTTAAAGGAAAAGTTGCTTCGAAGGGGTCAGGGCGAGACCCGAATCCTGGTCGCGAGGACGATCTTCGGACCCTGAAGAGAAACGTGATCCTGGAATGGAGAACCGCAGCTAATTTTGAGACCAATCGGGTCCGGCTTAGACTGAAAATTCTGGACCTGGCTTCAAGGTCGGATTTGAACCTCCTGCTGAACACGATGCGAGAAATGTTCAGGGAGATACACGAAGAGATCACTTCGAGGTATGCAGATTGGACCAGAATGGAATTAAGAATTTCTTTCCATGTTTTCCCTTACGGGGTTACAGGTCATGGGTCAGATTAATTTCTTATTGTACTAATTTATTAATGGCATCGAACTTGAAATTTTCAATTATTTTGCCATTCAAGGATTTTTGTGGGTGGCAGGTACCACAGGGAGATGAAGAACGTCAACGAGCTGACCTCGGTCTTCTGCTTCGCCATAGAAGAGGCCAGACCTATCCAAGAAGAGATGCTCCTGGACGGAGACAGGTTCATAGTGCGATCCAACGTCCTCATGTTCCCAGACAAGCCCCGACCCCCAGCAGAGCCGGTCCTGGAAGAGAACCACGTCTTCAGGTTCCGCATGGCCCAGCTGGGACGATTGATGGACGTCTTCAAGAACGTCGCCCCAGGTGGGAAGATGTCCGAAAGAGCTTTCAGCTACATCTTAATGGACCTGGTAGCCCGAGGCCTCGAAGAGGGAGAAGTGGTCCCCCTTCCAGGATCCTGGTACCAGCTGGACCCTGAAGACGTGGAGGTCCTGGTCCTGCGACTCTTCGGGGACGAGACTCGCCTAGACTGGAGAGACTTCGTCATCTACGCCATGGAACTTCCCATGCCTTCTGCCAATCAGATCCTGGACGCCAGGGACGCCTTCAGGGTTGCAGACCCTGAAGAGAAGGAGCTCGTCAGCAGGGAGCAGTTCCTCTCGACTCCTCTGTGGTTCTACACCTGCTCGGATGCTGCGGAGGTGTCCAGGTGCATTTTGCACGGGGAGTTTCAGAGGGACTCGCAGGATTTATACCCTGAAGAGGTGGGACCCGAAGAGGGCGAAGGACTCTCCCGGGTTGTCGGCTTGGACTCGGAGGTCCTGCAAAGGCTGGCAAGACGATTGAGATGCGACGAAGACGCGGCTCTTCGGGAAGTCCTGAGACTCCTGCTCGCCAAGGAGGTCCTCTGCGACATGTACTCCGTAGATGGGAACTTCGTCAACTATACCGAGGTCCTGCTCGCCTTCTGCAAGGACGACGACCCGAAGAGAGGCCTCGGGAAGGCCTTCTCCTTGGCCCTGGGGAATCCTCTCTGCACGGATGACGAAGAGGGTGAGAGGTACGTCGAGAGGCTCCTCCTGGAGAAGCGACTCCTCGCCGAAGTCGAGGCCTGCAGGAATCGCCTACACGAAGAGGCGCTTGAGGTATCCCTGAAGAGTGCCTACGAAGAAAAATGCAATTTCTAATTTATTATAACTTCTCTATCCCATTCAGGTCGGCGGAGCCATCGTCGAGCAGATCGTCGAAGCCGTTGTCCAGGAAGTCGAGGGCCTTCTGCTGAAGGAGCTGGATAAGTTGAGGTTGGAGCCGGACTTCGGGTACAAGAGACCGATTTTAATCCAGAGCCTTGACGAGCCCAGGGTGGTGGATCCTGCGGAATTACTTGCGGACCAGGATGTAGGTATTCCCGAAGAAGTCTCCGGTGGAGACCTCGAAGAGTCGTCGCTTTCGGTCGAGCCAGAGTCTACTTCGTCGATGTCTTCGACAGAAATTGAAGCCAGCAGGTCTCTTCAGCATGTGGAGACGCAACGAGACTCGGTCTTCTGGATCCATCGAAAGATCTGCATAGTAAGTGTCTATAAAAAATTTTTTTAACACCGTTAAAAATATTATTAAATTCTATTAACGTCTTCAGGCCGTCTTGGCGACCTTGTTGCCTCACCTCGCCGTGCAGGACTACTTCCAGTCATCGAGGACTCTCCGAGGACAAATCGACCTGGTGTACCAAGACCTCAAGGACGAAGAGCTGAACGATGACGAAGACCTCGTCTTGTCTCATCGCCTGGTTAACCACAGTTTTATTAAACAATTACTCGCAAACACTGGGAAGTTCGGCAACAAGAACATCGGCGGTATCCTTCGAGAAGTCCTGCAACAGAAGGAGAGGACGAAGAGGACGCTTGAGACCTGAAGAGCGAAGAGCACATAAATTGCGTACCTGAAGTACACACATACACTTCGAGTATCGCGAGGGAATAAACCCGAGACTCGTGTAACTTCCTTCTCGAGTAGTATAATTTATTGTTCCATTACATCGTAAATGTAAGTTTACGAAGACTCGTCCCGGAGGACATTGCGCGTCTTTTTCGTGGTTTCTCAGAAATCCCGGAAATCCCCAATCACGTACAATGGCGGACATAAACGCCACAATTAAATGGAAAGAAACACCATGAAGTAGTTAAACTCCCATTCCATAGGTTGTTTAAACATCTAATAAACGCTGGTGGTCATCATGTATCTTCTAAATGACGCGACGGTTGTAATTTTTTAATAGCGTTGGATTTAACCGCAAAAGTCGCTTACATGGAGACAAAGTACAAAGTGGTTTTCATTTATTAATCCAAAATGTTAAGTTTTCCGTGATTATCACGTATCCTTTAAGTTTAACTCCCCTTGTGGAAGCCTAATAGTGTCGAACTCTTCCGCGAGAGTCGCTAGTGTTATTGTCGCTCGCAGGTAACCAAAGTGTAGGGTAACTTTAATATGGATTTAGGAGGAAAAGCGTTCATATCCGCCATTGTACGTGGTAATACTCTCGTAGGAATACGTGTATACGTCGAATTATCGATTAGCATGCACGTGCCTGAAGGGTTATCCGTAATCTCGCAATAAACTCCGCAGTAAACCGCAATATCGGTGTCTCTACCGATTGGTTTGTAATGGCCGCTCGAAAGCCGAAGGTCTGCCACCGAGAGGGACGTTTTTCCCGCGGAAAGTAATAAATAATAAACCCCGATCAGTGCCGATAAGTCGAACGAAATCCCGACCGAGGGTCACGCGTGTCACGAGGTGCATCGCGAGAGCATTTAGCGACACTTGCGTGTCATTTAATCAGTGATAACAGGACCTCTCGGCAGATACCTCCCCAAGATACCGCCGTGCATGTCTTTAGCATCGTTGCACTCATTACTGCACTTGTTCAACATGCACGATGTCATTTTCAAGGGTGCACCGTCGAGTACTCTGGGTTTCATTTCCTCGTGTAATGGACCTTAAGGTGAAGTGAAACACGTCGAGGAACTTGATCAACGTCGATAAAGGAGATTTTTCTAAATGCCTACGTTGCCGACATTGGTTTTTATATTTACAGCTGTGTCGAATTACATTGAATATTGTACCAAATGGCATGCTACACCTGTCGTTTTCGTATAATAAATATCAAGAAATCGAAGTAAAACTCCAGAAATCCTCTGGATTCAAGCTTTCTGGGGCCCTAATTGACTGCTGAGGGACACCTTGCGCCATCTGTGATTTCCAGGTCAATTAAATTTTCACTCCGAGACCTCGTATTACCATCGTTTTAGTATAGAAGCGCATACAACACTTTTTTTGCCCTTATCTTGTTCAAATGCGAGATTATCGATTACCAGAGTGTTCTAAATTGTCGTAAAATTGTCCTGACCCTTTCGATTCTCATATCAGAGCCTTTGATAATTGTATATCGATCGAAATATGAGAGCTCGACGCCATTTTGGTTCTGGCCTGGGCTGAGTTAAAAAATTTTGTTAAAAAATCCAAATTTTGAATGTGTCAGGACAATTCTTAGATGATCAGGAGTGATGTGTCAAAGTTTCGGACAGTTTGGTCTAATACCCTTAAAAAAAAGTCTTGTATTCGAATCGACTGATTTGAAGGGTGTTTCACTTCACCTTAAGGTGTCATGAAAGAGTCATAAACCCATCAGAGAGTGAAATTATTTACTAATGTCCCAATAAAGGTCTCGAGACCAGGGAAATTATATTTTTCGAAGAAAAATTTAGTATTCATCTCGAACAAGTACCAACGAAAAGCGTTGTTTTTTCTTTTTATTGAAATTTCGTGAGTTTTGAGACCTTCGTTAGGACTTCCATAATCACGCGTTAATGTTTCATATTATTCAGTTCGCCCAGTTTGGAGAAAATTATATTTTCATGTTTCGCCATGACCCTTTAGTCCCACCTTAATAAATCTCGTAACCGCGATTACGCCGGCGAAATCATGGAAACGTTATTTACGGGAATCGTACGTATTTAAGGCTCTCGTTCTTAAATGATAAGTTTCTAATGTCGCGCGAAGGGCTTGATTAAAATTAATTTATGGAAAGTGTCAACACTCGTAACTGCCTCTCTTACTCCTTTAAACTATACATGAGACCTTGAACATTTTGTCAGTGTCTTTTTCGTTTATTTCATTATAGGACATGTTCGGAGTCCGCTTTCGAGTATTAAGAAGTCGGCTAAAATTTTTGCCAAACTGTCGAGATGTCGCTGCACAATCGTTAATAAATAGTCCTGGTGTGCAGTTCCTCAAGACCTTGGCATAAATTCTAGATAACCTCGTTTAACATCGCCGCGAGTCGTCCGAATTACGATATTGTCGGTTGTATTAAATATGGCGACCGTTTATACAATCGAAGCCCGGGAATGTACACAAATCCGGAGAGATATTGAAAATATTCTAATATACGAAGACGGCAGAAATGGTCCACCTACTGCAGCCTCTCCATCCCGATGAATGAATCATGAATAGTTGCAACAATTCCACCGCCTTAACCTTTAACTATCACTTTCGCCACCGAAAGTCCGTAACTCCATTGACGCCGTTGCGAAAAAAAAAAAATCGTTATGCACCTAAATGACTAAATAAAACCGAAGCCAGGGAATGTACATAACAGGGAAATACTTATAAAATATAGGTACGGTGAAAACCCTCCAGCCATTGTCCTTTTTCTAATTAATTCATTAATTACTCCTCGAGACCGGAGAGTTTCCACCGCCCAGAATTTCGCAAATTATCACTTCCGGTTATGAAAGTCCGAAGACGTCCGCCATTGTTGCGGGTCTCGAGGAAGTAATATCGGGACGATTTGACGTTAATACCGGGTAATGACTGTTTGAAGCCATCGATGGTATCGATTCGCAATTAATCCGATATTAAGTCCCCGGGACCCGATGTAATAATTCCACATTCTCCTGGTTTTACTACCCTCGTAATTGACCTAGTACATCATTCATAGACGGACCTTGGCTCGCAACAATTGTGCCCATAATTATGAAAGTGGTCTAAGTCAAAATTAAAAAAAAAATTAGTTTATCAGTTATTTCACGCCATATTATTTCAAAGGAAATTAATTCAATGTAATTTCGAAACAAATAATATATGACTTAGACCACTTTCATAATGATGGGCACAATTGTTCTCGGTCTCCACTTTGGCGGCTCGTCTCGCGATAAAGTGCAATTTTCACAGCCCGTACTCGACGTCTAAGTACCTCTCGCCGGACAAGGTGCAGCTGCACACGTGGATAATACTAGATATTTATGCACATACATGTATACATATGTATACACGTGGAAATGATTATCTCTTTAAAAGGTAGATTTTCCAATAAAAAGAAACCACGCTTAAAAATCATGTTCTCCCATACCCTGATAAGAAAAATTGTATGACTCAAAGGAATATGCATCACAACAACAAAGTCCTGCAATTAAACCCATCGAAATAAATATAAAAAAAATATATATAATTTAAGATCAAGAATTAGTTTAAATCAACGTGACTGTTTCGTCTCAAAATAATTCTTTCCTCTAGTTACATGTGATTCCGGCAACGATATGTGAATAATATATATTTGCTTCGGTCAAGTAATTATTTTTTTTTCTCAGGGTAATTGATCATTTGCGACATTTATGAGCACGTAGTTAATTCCAAAATTTATCTGAGAGAACCCTTTCTCCGTTAATATAGGGATTAGTGTAGGTATATACATATGTATACAGGTATTTCGCGTGATATGTCGGGTGACAAAGAATGAACGTGCGCGCGCCCGCGTTAAGTATCGCCCTCTCTCTCCCTCTCGCGCTCGCCGCGTCTCCTCGTCTCTTTCTAACCGCCCTCGCGGAAGAGGCCGGGCCTCGGACCGCGAAGGAGTCTCGTCCGAGGCCGAGCCGCACGTAAATATAAAAATAAAAATTCTCCCCTCACAGCTAGGGCTTATCGGACGCTTTTTACACCTGCGATTAGCTAATTACATCTCGCTAAGGGACCGATAATATAATATATCGGGAAGAAGCGTTACTCTTCGAGCGTCCCCTCGCGAAGACTAGGCGTTACGAGGCGATCGATCTATACAAACTCCTTACTGTAAAACTCTCGACGACTAGTTGACAGTCTCACTTCGTTGGCTTAAACGTTCCAACGGGGCGACGATTAATTCGTTACGAGCTTACTTAACGAGTGGCCAAGTGAGGCCTGCCAAGAAATCGCCAACAATCACGCTCTTACGTGGCCGTACGCACCGAGGAATGATTTCGGCGACGCGCGCCATCTCGCGGGATTAAGGGGATGCAAAAGTGACGTCAGAGGTCTCATTTATGAAACTTTTCTCCGAACTGGGTGTACCGAATCGTTTCACACTCTACAACGTGAATATAGAGGCCATAAGGAAGGTCCTGACGCCCATGAAATATCAATTTTTTATAAATTTGTTTAGACATCTCCAAGATTTTTTATAAAAAATTCACATTTATGAGGGTCAGGAACTTCCATATAACCTCCATATTCTCGGTGTAAAATGTGAAACGATTCGGTATAACAAGAGGACGCTCCTAAATTCACGAAAAACCTTGCCGGGTGGTTACAGGTGGATTCACGATATTCGATATTTGTCGGTACCGATTCGACAAATTATTGCAAAGTGCGTTTTAATGGTCTTATTAACTCTGTATCCGGGTCGGACAGGTCGAAGAGAGACATTGAAAACGTACATTGACAATGTATCGCAGGATTGGCACCGATACTTCTCGGGTAGCGTGAATCTATCTTTATCTCCATGTCCGACCGAAGGTACTAAGCTCACTCTTTACCGCGAAAACTGGTCAAAAATCTTACCACGCTTAAAATACACGTAACGCCGCACTAGTTTCCCTAAAAAATACGTCAACAACAAACAAGCGTTTTTATCCCGATCAACGGTTCGCCCCACGAGCTCCATTATCATTCCCTCCTCTTTCTGGAAGAACTCCGACGACTCCACTGGACGTCCGCCATTCGCGGATCGATGAACGAAAACTTCGTACCCCGTGCGAGAGGAATCCCCGGAGTGAGCAACTTTTAATTAAATAAATAATCCGTCCGCTTATCGGCGATAAAGAGGTTAGAGGTGCCTCTGGTATCGCGTTAACAGAAATAACAGGGATTTCTTTCCTCCATTTTGTATGATCGTGATTTATCATCACAATAGGCCGAATTTCCCTTTGAAGGGTGGAAAAAAGTTGCCCACTTCCGGCGTAACTCCACGGTCATCTTTTACGGGTCGGATGAAAGCGATCGAACAACGATCCCGATAAAAAATCGCTAAACCTCCCCCATTCTCCTTTGGCACCTAGAACGATCGTTGTACACCCTATCGTGCTACTACCTATCGAATGATAAAAAAATACCGGGAGTAAAAATATTTATGATACGCGACACGTGTCTTGTATTCTCACTGTCCTCGCGACACCTTCGGGGAGCGTCCCCGGCCGATATCTTCGATTACTCCTTATCGCCCCGCCATTTCTTATCTAGCGCCGGCAAACGGGAAGGGTGGAGAGCTAATGTACGCTCGAAAAAAAGTCCAGCTAAAAGGACCAGAAATCCAGGTGTTTTACCTGGATTGGATAGTCTATGCCCTTCCTATACTTCCTGTTAAAGGTGTCGGATATTTCCAGTAAAATATCTGGCTGGGAAAATTTCTTTCATCCTAATCATTTAGGAATCTGATTAAGATAACTATTAAGCCCCTAATCAGAATTTTCTAGCCATGTTAAGGTGAAGTGAAACACGTCGAGGAACTTGATCGACGTCGATAAAGGAGATTTTTCTAAATGCCTACGTTGCCGACATTGATTTTTATATTGACAGCTGGGTCGAATTACATTGAATATTGTACCAAATGGCATACTACACCTGTCGTTTTCGTATAATAAATATCAAGAAATCGAAGTAAAACTCCAGAAATCCTCTGGATTCAAGCTTTCTGGGGCCCTAATTGACTGCGGAGGGACCCCCTGCGCCATCTGTGATTTCCAGGTCAATTAAATTTTCACTCCGAGACCTCGTATTCCCATCGTTTTAGCATAGAAGCGCATACAACACTTTTTTTGCCTTTATCCCGTTCAAATGGGAATTTATCGATTACCAGAGTGTTCTAAATTGTCGTAAAATTGTCTTGACCCTTTCGATTCTCATATCAGAGCCTTTGATAATTGTATATTGATCGAAATATGAGAGCTCGACGCCATTTTGGTTCTGGTCTGGACTGAGTTAAAAATTGTTGTTAAAAAATCCAAATTTTGAATCAGTGTCAGGACAATTCTTAGATGATCAGGAGTGATGTGTCAAAGTTTCGGACAGTTTGGTCTAATACCCTTAAAAAAGGGTGTTTCACTTCACCTTAATCAGACCTCGTATTAATCCCTGGCATTTTTTGTTTTTCTAATCAGGCATATCTAATATTAACCGGAATCTTTTTCGAGCGTAATGAGGGGGACGGGAACCGGTGGCGCCGATTCCTCGACTCGTGGCAAAGGAATGAAAGAATCGGAGCTCATTCACGAGCCTACCCCGAGGGTCGACCCTGAAGAGTCCACCCCCGAAGAGGGTCGCCGACCCCCGGGGGGACGCGGAGTCACAGGAGTCGGGAAGAAGATCCTGAAGAGGACTTCAACCGATCCAGGGTAGCCATCAGCTGGGCTGTGGAGGAGTCAGTTTGACCAACAACCAGGTGTACAGCTTCTTCCTCTGCTTCTCCACCACCTGGTACTGCAGGTTGGCGAGCCCGTCGGTCGCGAACCTCTTCTTCCCCGTCTTCAGGAACTCGTATCTTGAAAGGAAAACAAAAATCTTCGAATTAACTTCATCACAAAACAATAGAAAAGAAATTTCGCTCATCGGAAAAAAATCGATCGGTCGACCGACCTAAATAACCGTAGCTGAAGTAGACCGAATCTTGATTCACGAAATTTGTTAGAAAAATTCTTTTGAATTTCATAAATTAATTTTGAGAGTTAGCCAACGATATTTGATAAGCATCCCAACAATGGTTTCGATTTAAACATTTCCTTCTTTTTTTTTTTTCGGGTTTTTTTAGTTTTGAGGTAGACTTTTAGCTCCTGATTTCTAGGGGGGTCCTAGGGAGTCCTAGGGATATCCTGTCGTCCTCACCAAGGTATTAACGGGTTTCCAAGGAGGTCGTAAATCTTCCGGTCGTGCACTTCGTGAAGTCGAGCTCGTTATTCCGGCCTCGCGTTACGTTATCGATAAATTATTCCCCCCGGCCCGATGCAAACGCGATCCTCCTCCGTTAACGTCGCGAACTCTGCCACCAGTAAACGTCACTCTTCGGGAAAAGGGAGGAAAGCATTTTTCCTTTTACCCTCCGCGAAATAGAGATCCGCTGTTGCGAGACCTCGAAAGGGAGCGAAGTCGACCGATCTGAATCATGAGGACATTAAACGTCGTCCTTGTTTCCGTCTACTTATTCATTCCCACATTTTAACACAGTACCTCTTCCCTGTATACCTGCATACAATATATTCATTTATCAATTTATTAAATATATATTAAATTCATTTCCCAGCTTTTTCACGAATGTATAAATTCCCGTCTCATATTAACCACGTGCCATGTTGGAGTGACGATATTTAATTTCTTGTAAAATTATTTAAAAAATGTTTACAAAGGGAATAATGTTTTGTGGGTGTCGGAACCTTCTTCGGGGTCTCCGTGTTCGTGTGGTAAAGTTTCAAGCGATTCGATATAGCCATGTCGGAAAAATTTCATTACGGCCTTCGATTTTTATCACCTTAAGGGGATGTCGGTTTACCTCTTTGGATTAGCCTTCTCCTTCTTGTGCGTGAGCATTTTGTATCGCGCCACGTTGGCCGGGTACCGAGATATATGAAGGCCATGAGCTTTGATGCGATTCGCCATGTCGTCGTCCTCGCCGCCCCAGCCCCAGAAGACGTTGCTGAAGCCGTTCACCAGGCGGAAGTGCTCCCTCGACATGGCGGAAACGCCGCCGAAGAGGTCCGCATAAGGCAACCTTGACCAAAGGGCGCAAAAAAGTGTCATTTACTCTTCTCGTCTTCTTCCGGACACCGAGATAAAAAAAAAATATGAGCCAAAGAAATATTCCTTCGAGTGGTATCAATTAAAAAAAAATCATTAATTTAAAGAACTCGACTAAATTTAGTGTGATTACAACAAATTATTTGTAGTTACTTTACGTCAAATAATGACTCTTCGAACGAAGGAAATATTTCTTTGGCTCAATGACTCTTTTTTCTCTCAGAGCGATGACTTCGTCCTTGACGCTGTTCAATTCCTGGACACTGGGGGCGAAGATTTACCGGTAATTAAACTTGTCCACGGCCACGGACATGTGCCTCGGCTGCTCGGGACAGGTGTACAGGTTCCTGTCGTCCTCGGGCAGCAGGTCGACGTCGTGGAAGATGAAGCAGTCGAAGGGCCTCTCCTTCAGGGCCTCGACGTACCCCACGTTCATTAGCATCGCCCGGTTAAATTGTCCCATACCTGGGGAAGAAAAAATTCCTATCCGTGACACGTACCGTGAAATTCCTGGATTCTACTTTTTCAAGACTCCAATTACACCTTAAGGAGACGTGAAAGTAGAGTTCGAAGAGTTAATCGCTCATGCAACTTTTCTCCGAGCTGAGTGTGCCGAATCGTTTCAAACATTACAAAGTGGACGTGGAGGCTATAAGGAAGGTCCTAACACTCATGAAATTTAATTTCTTATAACAAAATTAAAAAATGTCCATGAACAAATTTTTGACAAATTGAAATTTCATGAGTTTCAGGACCCTCCTTGTAACCTCCACATTCACGTTGTATAATTTCAAACGATTCGGTACATCCAATTCGAAGAAGATCCATAAACGAGAAACCTTAACACTATTTCTATCACGATTTTGTGTATACCTATTTCGACCAAAAGGTTTAGATGAGCTGGTGGAAAATGATACCGNATACATACCGAAAAATTTCTAATAAAATGCATACCGAAAAATTTCTAATAAAATACATACCGAGTGGCGTTAATTGTGAAAATGGTCTCGATAGACCGAGGTGGAAAATGATACCGCTAAATAAATTTAACAATTATTATACGAAAACTCAAAACATTAATTGAGAACAAATTATTAAACTTTGAAAATAATTTCAAGATAAAATTTTAAAAGGTGGCTTTTAACACCTTTGTTAGAAATAGTGTTAAGGATTGCGATAATTCCATTAATCGTAGAGAATTCCGAATGGCATGAATGGACCAGGGAAGACCGCTCTCTAGAGACCCGAAGAGAAGGAAAGTGGATGGAAAATTGGGCCTTACCGAGTGCAAGATTGTTCTAGTGTATTTTTTACATTTAAAAAATTGACTTTTTTGGCCGGTTTTTTTTTTTTTAATCTGTGCGTTAAGGGGTTAATCGTAGAGAATTCTGAATGGCATAAATGGACCAGGGAAGACCTCTCTCTAGAGACCCGAAGAGAAGCAAAGTGGACGGAAAATTGGGCCTTACCGAGTGCAACATTGTTCTAGTGTTTTTTTTTACATAAAAAAAATTGACTTTTTTGGCCGGTTTTTTTTTTTAATCTGTGCGTTAAAGGGTTAATCGTAGAGAATTCCGAATGGCATGAATGGATCAGGGAAGACTTCTCTCTAGGGACCCGAAGAGAAGCAAAGGAGACGAAAAATTGGGCCTTACCGAGTGCAAGATTCCAACCTGGGATCGATAAGAGGGCGCCTCCTGTAAACTATGGCCCGGCATAACGGGTACCGATATACCGCGTACGTTTTACGCGAAGAGCCGCGATATAGGCGAGTGCCGCAATGCGCCAGCAAGGTAGCCATCTCCGTTTCGCGATTAGATCACGTCGGCGACAGGCTCTCGCCTTAACGGACCGACCTCGCGTCGCCTCGAATTAAAACGGAGCACGTCAAACCCCCCGAGGGAACATGCCAGGCGCGGAACGAAAAAAGAAAAAAAAACGGATCCGTAGTAAAGTACCGCAGAGAAAAAAAAAATCGAAGTACCAAGGAAAACGGTTGCCTGGAGAGGAGGAACGTCGAAAATGCTAAACGCTGCATAAATTAACAAATGCAGCAACATCCGAAATCCGGGTTCTTTTGTCATAGCAATGAAACATCTCTCGTTACGCCGAGTCTTTTTCTATACCATGAAAAAATGCTCATCGAACCGAAGAAACGTTTTACTGGCTCGAGGAATAATTTATTTAACTCGAGTGGACGGCGATAAATTTTTATGATCACGAGGAAAGGTTGCATCCTGGTTATTCGAGATTATTCGAGTGAAATAATTGTCCCTTGAATTACGGAAGTATTTCTTTGGTTGGATGAAATCATTTTTTTTTTTTATTTTCAGGTGACGCGCAGGAGTTTCTATGTATACGAGGTCCTCACCTTCCTGCTCGACCACAAAGATCTGATAGTCGACCTGCTGTCTCAACAGCATCGGGTGGAGGTTGCAGAGGAACGCGGTGAGATGTTGAAAACGGTCGCGATAGGGCACGACGATAGCGACGCGGTGCCTGGGGACGCACCCTGTGGGACACCCTCTGCCACCCGGCATCACCTCCGTCAGGGTCTTCTCGACCACCGACATCGCCGGCGGGCTCTTCTCCACGGCCAGAGGGCCGACTGAAACCATGGTCAAGAATGAAAAGTCGAAAATAAAAAATTAATAACAAGGAGCGACTCTAAGGGTCAACTAGAATAATAGGCGCTTCGAGAAAAAAAAGTGTCATCGAGCCAAAGAAATATCTTAATTCAGAGAATTATGTGACCGAAATAAACTGAAATTCTTTGAATTAACGAAATATTTATGGTAAAAATATTTCTTAGCTTCAATGAACATTTCTTTCTCGGGGTACTACGGTCCCGCGGGAAGTGTCACTTGAGAATCTCTCGCTTAGAGAAGGAAATCGAGGATGCCGCGGTTAAAGAGGCCGGGATTTGGATGTTTTACAGTCGAGTCGAGTTCTACGGCATTTACGCGACTTCCGGATGAAAAATTTGTGCGGATTTATTGTGCGGATTTATCATTACTGTGATTAGCGGGGGACCCACCGAGGTTGGGAGGCACGAGGGGACACCGTTCCGTCGACGGAGCCTCCGTCCCGTTTTTATGGAGGGCATCGGAGGGGTCCTCGGTGTCCAGGGAGGCGTCCCGCTCGACGGCGACGCGCGTCGGGACGGCTGCCTGCGTCCTGAGGGCGTCGCCGGGATTCCGGGCCCCGGAGACCGACGACGACGTCGTGTACGAGGAGGCGCTGCCGTTCGCCAAGACGCTCGGCGAAGTCGCCGGACCGTAGATGATGAGTCCTCTAGGCCGATTTCTCAACGAGTTCCTGGCGTACCTGGAATCGACAGAGAGCGATCGTCATTCCCGAAAACTCTCAATCGTCCTCCTCGAGGTCCATTTTTTCGACCTCGAGGAGGATACCGATAACACCTTACGGGCATTATCTCGCGACTAATTGTAAAGTTAAAAAAAAAGTGGCGTTAATAGTAAAAATGGTAATGGTAACACCTTACGAGGGTTATCTCGCGACTAATTTTCGGAAATTCCTAAAAATTTCTAATAAAATGCATACCGAAAAATTTCTCATAAAATACATACCGAAAAATTTCTCATAAAATACATACCGAAAAATTTCTAATAAAATGCATACCGAAAAATTTCTAATAAAATACATACCGAAAAATTTCTCATAAAATACATACCGAAAAATTTCTAATAAAATGCATACCGAAAAATTTCTAATAAAATACATACCGAGTGGCGTTAATTGTGAAAATGGTCTCGATAGACCGACGGTCGAGGATCCCGCTGAGCAGATACTGAAGAGCGATCAGGGCGAGGACGACGCAGGCGAGCGCCTTGTAGAGGTGGGCTCGGTGCCACGGAGCCACGGCTGCGGCCACAGTCATCGCACCCCCCACACACCATTACTTCCTCCCTCGGTCCCCGCCGAAGCAGCCTAGACCCGGAAACGGGGGTGGCCGCCCCCCGCGACGATGAACCCCTGGGGGTGAGCCCCTTCGCCGGCGGGCATCGCCCCTAGGACCTCCTGCAACCGGAAGGAAAAGAAATCGTCATATCTCCTTGCGAGAAAATAAAAGCGCCATCCCCTGGGAGAGAAAGGAAATCGTCAACTTAAGTAGAAAAGGAAGCCGACACCCCCTTAAGAAGAAGAAGTCGTCGCTCCTTGGGAGAGGAGGAAATTAATTTTCCCTGAAAGAAAAAGAAAAAAATCATTTCCCAAGATCGACCCCCGTATACGCTAGCGATCGTTAAGGCGGGGCGAAACCCTCGTTGAATGAAATGATTTCCAGAATGAACAATTTTTTTTAACGGTGTTCCAATAAAATATCGTAGGTGAAATTTTACGCTAAGCTTTGGGAAGCTGAGAATTGCTTTGATCTGGAAAAAAATTATAACTGGGCCAAGGAAATGATTTCTTTAGAGAGGTCTCGTTAGGGTAGACTTTTCCGGGCTACGCCGACCCGTTATCGAATGATCCGTTAACGACCGTAATCCAGAGTTCCAATTTCGATTTCAATTTCGGATTTTGGGAACGGGTCGTCTCCCTCGGGCCCTCCGAATTCCGATTACACAGTCGAGGTGTGCCGCGAGATTTCGATGATCGCTCCCTGGGTGATCCCTGGACCCGGGGGATGCTGCCCCCACACCCCGAAGAAGGGACATAGACCCCGGGTGAGCGATCAAACTCTGAACTACGACCCTGAAGAGTAAATCCTCGCTCGACGATATCTATACCGTACTTGTTCGGTACAAAAGTGCACGAAATTACTACTAAGGAAACTTCCGAAAAATATAAAAGATCCTCGATAAAAAAAAATAGAAAAAAAAAATATCGACATGACCGCGTTCATTTAACGGCGCACGTGCGTTTGCATACGTGCATAGAATGTAATTCCGAAACGGAAAACGAGACGATATCTATACCGAACTTGTTCGGAACGAAAGTGTACGAAATTACTACTAAGGAAATTTCCGAAAAATATAAAAGATCCTCGATAAAAAAAAAATCGACACGATCGCGTCCATTTAACGGCACACGTGCGTTTGCATACGTGCATAGAATGCAATTCCGAAACGGAAAACGAGACGATATCTATACCTAACTTGTTCGGAACGAAAGTGCACGAAATTACTACTAAGGAAATTTCCGAAAAATATAAAAGATCCTCGAAAAAAAAAAAAAATCGACACGATCGCGTCCATTTAACGGCGCACGTGCGTTTGCATACGTGCATAAAATGCAATTCCGAAACGAGACGATATCTATACCGAACTTGTTCGGAACAAAAATGTACGAAATTACTACCAAGGAAACTTAAAAAAAATATAAAAGATCCTCGATAAAAAAAAAATCGACACGATCGCGTCCATTTAACGGCGCACGTGCGTCCGTATAACGCACGTGCGTTTGCATACGTGCATAGAATGCAATTCCGCAACGGCGCGGAAAACGAGCCGACAAAGCACGGAAAGGGCATAGGTGGGTCCTGAATTTCTCTTTTTCTCATTTTTCTCATTTTCCTCTCCACATTTGCCGGCTTCTCGCATTCTCGAGTTTGCGCCGGCACGCGAGGAGATGCAGGAAAAAGCGGATAAAAGTGCTCGCACAAAGACGGTCGTTAGTGATAACGATTCGTTGATTGTACGACGCGTGTTCGCGTCAAAGGAGAGAGTTCTAGGTTTCCCCTCGCCCTATAAAATATTGAGGCTTCGAATGATACCGAGAACTTGTACTCGCCACTACTGATTACAGGTATCGATCGGCGATCGATAACAAGAGGCTATAAGTAAAATGGAAAGTTACGTCGACTCTCGGAACATTAGTTTAAGCGTTGCGTCAAAAGACAAGTGGAAAAAGAAATCCAGGGAACCGGAGAAATATTTTTTTTAACAATACCGAATTTTTGCTTATCAGTGTACACCTTGCGACACCTTAAATACCTTGTTAAGTTAAACGTAATATCTTAAATGGCATGAAAATTTCATTGAGTTTACTATCAAAGAACGAATTGTGGCCCTAGTTATATCAGGAAATAATGGAATAATTAAATTACTTAATAAATTGAGCAATGACTAAATGAAAAACGAGGTAGAACGTGGCGTCGCCTTTTTGTAAGAGTACGGAGATGAAATGCCATGCAAATTTCATTGAGTTTACTATCAAAGAACGAATCGTAGCCCTGATTATATAAGGAAATAATGGAATAATTAAATTACTTAATAAATTGAGCAATGACTAAATGAAAAACGAGGTAGAACGTGGCGTCGCCTTTTTGTAAGAGTAAGGAGATGAAATGGCATGCAAATTTCATTGAGTTTACTATCAAAGAACGAATCGTAGCCCTGATTATATAAGGAAATAATGGAATAATTAAATTACTTAATAAATTGAGCAATGACTAAATAAAAAACGAGGTAGGACGTGGCGTCGCCTTTTTGTAAGAGTAAGGAGATGAAATGGCATGAAAATTTTATTGAGTTTACTATCAAAGAACGAATTGTGGCCCTAGTTATATCAGGAAATAATGGAATAATTAAATTACTTAATAAATTGCGCAATGACTAAATAAAAAACGAGGTAGAACGTGGTGTCGCCTTTTTGTAACAGTAAGGAGACCCTGTCTGGATACGTGTGTGCGTGAGAGGCAAGGTACGTGTGAAAACTCATTTGGCACTTCTAATTACCATGGCGAAGTTTTTCCCTTAGTCAGTAGCTCATTGTTAGGCGGAAACTGCAATCGCAGCTCCCCCTCGTGCGTTATCAGCCCTTCGGCCGTAAATCAAGGGCTAATCCCGCGGCTCTCCGCGCGGCGGATTCCGCGTCGCGGAATCCCATCGATGGAGCCAATTGCCAGAAGCTACATTTACGACCGACTCGCCGTTTTCGACCGACAAACGCCCCCCGTTATCGCCGAAACTTACGCGAATCGAACGGCTTATCGAGACTACCGTCTATCGGCGCAAAATTCTCGTAACCCTAACGAAATTAATTATCTAAACCCTATATGCAATCCAAATGAAAATCAACCACGGTTAAGCACTTCTTAAAAGTGCTACTCAATTTAGAGATTTTATATACAAAACGTAAGAGCACGACTTTTTAACCCCTTGCACACAGAGGCATTTCGACATATGGGCGAAATTCCTCTGACCGTGCGGGCAAAAATGAACCAAACGTCGGGCGCCTTTAGGCGCTCTTAGGAGCCATAGGGTTAAGTTGCACAATTCTTAAGGATATCGTTATCCAATTTAGAAGTTTTATATAAAACGTGAGGGTTAAAATTTACCTACGTATTGAATTCTCGTAACTAAACTGTCTCATGAATTTAAGGGTGAATTCAAGCAGAAGGACGTCGTGATAACATTCAGCGACTCAAATGAAAATCAACCACGGTTAAGCACTTCTTAAATGTGCTACTCAATTTAGAGATTTTATATACAAAACGTAAGAGCACCACTTTTTAACCCCTTGCACACAGAGGCATTTCGACATATGGGCGAAATTCGTCTGACCGTGCGGGCAAAAATGAACCAAACGTCGGGCGCGTTTAGGCCCTCTTAGGCGTTAAAGTTGCTCAGTTCTTAAGAATATCGTCATCCAATTTAGAAGTTTTATATAAAACGTGAGGATTAAAATTTACCTGCATATTGAATTCTCGTAACTAAACTGTCTCATGAATTTAAGGGTGAATTCAAGCAGAAGGACGTCGTGATAACATTCATTCCCGGTGCAGCTAGCACTGCACTTGGCAGATGATCTCCCGAAGACACAGGGGTCTGGAAGCCTGCCATATTATCGGGGAGATTCTTTCAAATCAGCGATAGATCCTCCAACCCCACCCCTCGTTGCACCCCTGATACGTGCACCCTTCCTTGTTTAGTCTGAAACCCTCCTGCAGATAATACGATGCACTCACCCGAGCCGCTGCACCAAAATCGGAAAGTCGCATTGCAGTAGGCTTTCCGAAAATGGAGGCCCCTCCATTTTGCGATAAAACGAAAACGAATCGATCTCCGAGCCACTATACATTCCCTGCAATTAGCTTGCACCATTAAAAGAAAAAAAGAAAAAAAAAGAAAAAACATGTTGCGCGGCATAAAAAAATTCCCAAGCATTTTTAACGGGGAAAGGTGCACTCCGACAAATTAATGTACCTTGATTTTGTACCCGATGCGACCTACACGTCCCCTCGTAATTAATAAAAAAAAAAGAATCATTGCATAGGGTTAATAATTTTCCAAACATTTTTAATCGCGAAGAGCGCACTCGAAAAATCAATCTAACGAGATTTTGTGTTAACCGCGACCTGGTTTCGTTTCACGCCGTTAATGCGGAATCGCAAACGCGTGTCGGAGAAACGGAAGACCCTAGAAGACCAGAAAGCCCCGAACAACGATTTTGAACGACAATCGAGGTTGCTAAAGGCCGTTCAACGAGCGTACTCGCGGGAAAAAAGTACTGAAGAGCGCCGTTTAACGGGCGCCGTTTAACGGGCGCCGTTTAACGGGCGTCGTTTAACGGGCGCCGTTTGATTGGTCTGCTCAGTTCTCGTTACAAAACGCAAGAAGACCTCGCACAGAAATTAGAATATCGCTTTCAAAATTACAGCCCTCGTGACTAACGGCGCCGTTGTGGGTGTAAAAAGCAATCGCGAGTCGGTAATACTTATCGATCGATTCCCGACATGAAACGGAAGTCTACACGACTAGAAAAGTCGAGTCGACGTGGAAAACGAACAGAGAGATAAAATAAAATTTCCTACCGATACATTTTCAATTTGCCTTTAAATAATTCAAAAATTAGAATACCATATTTTCTGATAAAATTGGCCCGTGGATTTTTTTTCTTTTTTCTTTGTCCGTTGTGCGGTCAAAGGATTCCCAAAAACGTCGAAAACGTGGAAATGTCTGATCGAGGTCGAGAAATTACGAAAATACCCATGAGAGTGACGAGGGTAAACATTTTGCCAAATAAAAAATAAGGGGCGCCGTTTGGAATTAAATGTACACTCGGGATCAAACCGA